GCAGCCTTATGGTTTTGGTTATAAAGTGTGTCTCAATTGATGAATTAGTTCTGTAGCTCAAGGGAAGAGATTCTGTAATTGGTTAGGTCCTAGGCCTTGCTTAGGTGTCTTACATCTGCTAAATAAACTGATGGGCGGAAGGACTAATTTAAGGACAGATATTACACATTGTTCTTGCACTGGCCATTACTAAATTATGTGTGAGCTGAACTCCCTGAAGGAACTTAAAAATATGTCCAGGTGAAAGGAATTAAATTAATCCAGTTCCAGTTGTAACCTCAAGTAAGAGGAGAGGTTAAAAGTTTCCAGTCAAACAAAGTGGGAAGAAAAGGTGATAGTTCTTGTCTCGTGATGTTTATATTCATCAGGATGGATGAGGAACCTGGCAAGAGCCTGAAGCATTGAATCACCATGATAAGTGGCTGGCCAGCTACCATAATTTAGAATTATCTCAGCTAATACACTTTGTCAGGATCAAATGTACTTGACCTTAACTTGTTACTACATGTTTGAATGGTGACTGGAAGAAACGGGCAAAGTAGGGTAAAGAAACAGAAGACCATGGTCTGCACAAGAAGGCTGAGAGGTAGTGCTTACCAGGGTGGTGTGGGTACTGTAATACTACAGACAAGAGAAAACAGGGGTCACTGGAGCAGGAACAGTGCTAGAAGAGATCCTGAGGAGTGCAATGTTAGTTCTCCTGCCCTGCATATTCTTGCAGCCTGCAGGAAGAAAGCTGCTGTACCCAAAGCTACCTGTGATAAGCTGGTAGCTTTTGTGCTGTCCTGCTGTCTTCTCTTTTTTCCAAAAAGCCTCAGCCAAAGTCGCATGGTACTGCACGGTGGATATACCTGTACAGAACGTTCCCTGTGGTGTGAGTTCAGCAGCCTAGTAAGGATGGCTTGAAGATGAGAGCAGGTATAGAGATGAACTTAGCTGTTTGTTTTTACAGGCTGTGTTAAGTTGATAGCTAAACTGGAAGGAGAGGCGGATTGCCCACCTAATGAGTGCCAAAAGGAAAAATGTAAGTTTGTGTCACTGCTGAGAGGTGTTTCTGACTGAGAAATAAACACCAAAGCAAAGTGACTTTAGCTGAAAATTGGATTTTCAGCAGCAGGAAGTACACAATCTGATAGTTTATACCTTTTTACCCCAAAAACTTGAGCAGGCTGTTTCTTTTCTTTGTCTCTTCTTTTTCCCTTTCCCCCCTTCCCCTCTGATCCTCTGACTTTCAGTCCTTTCAGGTCTACCAGTCAGTCTCCATTTGCTTGCAGCCCTGGAAAGAATTTTGTGGTCTAATGTAGAAACGACAGCTTCTTTTATCTTGTGTACTTTGGTTATCTCGCTTGTGCATCTCAGAGCAAAACTGATAAAAGCCTGCTAAGACAAGATGGTCGTTTTTAGTCTTTAATAGCTTATCATATTTTAAAAATCTCATGAAAGAACTGTGTGCTAGTTAACTGATGATTAATAGGGATGCTTATGAATAAAATATGCCAATTTTTATCTGATTTTGTAATAATAGTGTTAGACTTTTCTCCTTCTTCTGACTTAAGTCTATATAAACAAAGGGATCAAAAGAGAACAGCATGTCTATGCGTGTTTAAATCTTTTGGAATTAGTGACATGTGCCCTTTGTTGTCCCCAAGTTCTGTGAAAGCGTGGAAAATTATTATGGTTTTGTTGCTTTTGTAGCCAGCTAGTTCAAGATTTAAAGCCAAGACCTAACCCACCTGCTTTATATCAGTTGTTTCAAACAGTCTGGAACAGTATAGGAACTATAGTAGAGTTAACTATTTTGTGCCATGGAAGGGAGAAGAAAACAGGTACTGTAAAACCTATTCCCTCCCTCTGGTTTTTATGCAGGTCATTATACATCCACCATTGTGAACCTTTTGCCTGGGTGAAAATATTGTTAGTTTTAAGGTGTGAGTTCCCCCTTGTTTAGACAAGTACATAGCCACACCTGGAGGTTTTGAATACTTGCCCCCCATGTAGTTAAGTTGACTAGGAAGTAGGTTAGGATAGATAGGATAGGTTAGATAGAAATAGTAGGGTAATTTAGATAGAAATAACCTATTTGTAAAGTGACACAGTCAGATGAAGATTGGCACTAGTCTGATAAAACCAGATCAAACATCTAATTAGAGAAACAAGAGAAGAAGTAAGTGTTCTGTGAAGCAAAAAGCCGTATGTGTGTGTGTGACATGGATGTGTGGTTGAGGGGGACCCCTCCTATTGAAGCCACAGGATTTCAGACCACAGCCCCCTAGCTATCCAACAACTGTCATATACTGGGGTGCTGAGGGCAGCTGGACTGCAGTCTTACGTTGCAGAAGTTAATAAAGAGTTTATGACTAAAGGATCATGTGTGTTTATGTGTATGACCACTTAACAACACCTGTAATCAAGTGAGGCCTGTTGTGAGAACAGAGTTGCAAAGTGGCAAATACCCAAATGGGGATAGGGTATTGGAAGGAAAGGGGGCCCCAGGTTAATATTCAAGCACCACCTCATCCAAGCTCAAAATCAAAGTGTCCTGAAGAGTAAGAAATCAAGTAAGAGAGCCAGGAGACCTGCATGGTTGAGCAGGGAATTACTGGACAAACTTAAGTGGAAGAAAGAAGCTTGTAGGTTGTGGAAAAAAGTGTTGACCACTTGGGAAGAATACACAGATGTAGTCAGAGTGTGTAGGGATGCAACAAGGAAAGTGAAGGCCTCCTTAGAAGTAAAACTGGCAAGGAAAGTCAAGGACAACAAGAAAGGCTTCTTCAAGTGCATTTGAGGTAAAAGGAAGGCCAGAGGAAATGTGGGCCCACTGCTGAATGAAGTGGTTGCCCTGGTAATGGAAGATACAGAGAAGGCAGTTACTCTTTGGCTCTGTCTTTACTGCTAAGCCTGACCCTCAAGATTCCCAAGCCTTCCAGACCACAGAAGTCAGGACTGATGAAGACAACCTTGAAGGAGATTTGGTTCAAAATCAGTTAAGGAAACTGGACATCTACGAATCCGTGGGCCCCGATGAGATGTACACATGTGTGCAGAGGGAGCTGGCAGAAATCATTGCTAGACCCCACTCTTCATTGTCTTTGAAAAGTCCTGGAAAACAGAGGTGCCTGAGGCCTGGGGAAAAGCTAATGTCACTCCAGTCTTCAAGAAGGGCAAAAAGCAGAACCCGGTTAACTACAGACTGGTTAGCCTCACTTCCATCCCTGGAAAGATGATGGAGCAGCTTATTTTGGAGGTCATCTCTTAAGTATGTGGAGGAAAAGAAGGTTATCAGGAGTACCCAGCATGGATTCACCAAGGGGAAATCACGTCTGACTAGTCTGATAGCCTTCTGTGATGGTATGATGGAATGGATATATGCAGGCAAAACAGTGGGTGTTGTCTTCCTCAACTTTAGTAAGGCTTTTGACACTGTCTCCATATAAACTCAAGAAGTGTGAGTTAGAAGAGCGGAGAGTGAGATGGATCAAGAACTGGCTAAACAATAGAGCCCAGAGGATTGTGATCAATGGTGCAGAGTCCAGTTGGAGACTTGTGACTAGTGGTGTTCCCCCGGGATCAGTACTGGTCCCAGTCTTATTCAGCATCTGCATCAATGACCTGGATGAAGTGATGGAGTGTATCCTCAGCAAGTTTGCTGATTACATGAAGCTGAGAGGATTGACTGATACACCTGAAGGCTGTGCAGCCATTCAGTGAGATCTAGACAGACTGGAGAGCTGGGCAAAGATGAACCTAATGAGGTTCAAGAAGAAGTGTAGAGTCCTGCACCTGGGGAGAAAAAACACCAGGCACCAGTATAGATTAGGGGTTGACCTGCTAGAAAGCAGCCCCATGGAGAAGAACCTTGGGGTCCTGGTGGGCAACAAGTTCTCCATGGGACAGCAATGTGCCCTTGTGGCCAAGAGAGCCAATAGTATCCTGGGATGCATTAAGAACAGTGTGGCCAGCAGGTCAAGTGAGCTTTTCCTCCCCTCTGCTCTGCCCTAGTGTGACCACATCTGGGGTATTGTGTCCAGTTCTGGGCTTCTCAGTTCAAGAGGGACAAGGACATGCTGGAAAGAGGCCAAGGGAAGGCTACAAGGACGATTAAGGGACTGGAACATCTGTCATACTAGGAAAGGCTGAGAGACCTGGGGCTGCTTAGTCTTGAGAAGACTTAAGAGGGGACCTTATTAATGTCTATAAATATTGGAAGGGTGGTTGTCAAGAATGGGCCACTCTCTTTTCAGTGGTGCCCTGTGAAAAGACATGGGGAAGTGACACCAAGCTACAACACAGAAAGTTCCACTTCAACATGAGGAAAAACTACTTGACTATGAGGGTGACGAGCACTGGAACAGGCTGCCCAGAGAGGTTGTGGAGTCTCCTTCTCTGGAGACTTTCAAGACCCATCTGGATGCATTCCTGTGTGATCTTCCCTAGGAGTTCCTGCTTCAGCAGAGGGGTTGGATTCAATGATCTTCAGAGGTTCCTTCCAACCCCTATGATTCTATTAAATACAAAGTAGTTATATATATAAATAAGTAATTTATTAAGGCGACAGATACAACAAGTTCAAAATAACTGTTGATAAATGCACTAAGACAGTGCTACTAGTAGATGCCAATATTGCTAACAATAATAGTACAAAGATTGTTTCACCCCTACCCAAATGTGAAAGTCATGATGTCTTACCCAACAAAGTGTTCCTGCCTGGGTGAAAGAAGAGGGGGTCAGGCCTGTCAGCCCGTTCCAGAGGAGATGCTCTTCTCTCCCTGAACAAAGGATTTGAGAACTAATTTAACACCTATTGATGAGGTGGGACTTAGGTCATAACTAGTTTATTGATTGTTTCTTTACAGATTAATGATGTTTATTGATTAGGAAAAAGGTAAGGGAGACAGCCAGTGCTTCACATGTGAATTCACCAGGTTAAGTCACACAGGCTTTGATTCCGGCCTTTATGGTGCGACCTCTGGCTATGGAGCCTTGCTTTGTTTTGCGTGTAGATGCCCAGACTTGCACCTGATAAGAAGTCAGATAAAGCCCTGGCCTTTATCGAACAAACTGACCACGGAGCCTTCAGTTAGTTTCACAATTCACGTGCAGTCCAACCGTGTGGTCAATGACAGGATGTAGCCCTTCCAGCCAGTGAATCAGGCTTGTCCTCCCTAACAGCCATAGATTAGCCTAGTTGTTGGGTCCAAATCAAGCACTGCTTATCTTGTAGTCCTTTGCACAGATCCTTTCAGGAAAGTTAAACCAAAGCACAGTAGAAATTTCTGTTTTCCCTGTCAGGTCTAGGAAGTTAAAAGCCATATGAGATCTCAGGTTTATTCCCAACGCTGTAATGAACATTTGAGTTTACACAGACATATCAATAATGGAGTAAGTGGTTGTGGTTTTTTGTTTATAATGTTGTTATATTCACATTCTGTTTCTTCACTTGTAGCTGCACTGAGAGCTTGTGCTGATGGAGGTGCCAATCGTCTGTATCGCATCACAGAAGGAAGCCAGGACACGTATGTTAACCGTAAACATGAAGTCATTGAAGTAATCTCTTCCCAGTGAAAGTAAAAAATGGGGGAGCAGTTACTGAAGCAGCTGCCTGCTCTGTGCAGGCACTTAAACAAACTGTGGGAGCTAATATAATATTTTCTCCATGTTAAATTTAATTTTAATTCCCAGCTACAATTTTTAAAAACATACGGGTGACATGAGATACCTGTTTTCCTTAAGCCCACTATTATTTTTTTCTTTTTGAAGGCTCTGCTTTCAGTCTCTCATTTTATGCATCCATCAGAACTAGGCCTTTGATGTAGCCTCTGAAAAACTTGCTGTGCCCCTAGCAGGGGCTGGCTAGAGGAACATGTAATGCCTCTCACCAGGAGCTGAAACAAAGTATGTCATTTTCATTCCTCTTATGAGGCCTTAGAGGAAATCTGTTTGGTTTGTCAAATTAGATGGATAATAAAATCGAAAGTCTACACTTCTTAATTATTTCTAAATTAGAATCAGGGCATCATGTATGACCAAAGGCAAGTACAGAGTTTATCTATAAATGTATACGCTAGATGAGGAAATATGACTGATTGCTTTGTGTAATGGCATTTAAAATAGTAAAATATCCCAGGTTTTTGTCCCAAAAATGTCAAGCTGAGGTTTTGATGCAAAATACTACATTCAAGTGGTTTCTCATTTTTATAGTGGAACTATGAAACACTGTGTAATCTGAGGTTACTAAAGATTCTTTGTGCTTGTCCTTAGTATTTTCATTTCTTTTGGGCAAGAATTAATTAATAAATAGTTTAATAAAAGCAAAAGAATAAAGCTGATTCTTGGGGCAAAGGAATGAGACAGGTATTTGGCAGATCTTACAAACTTAAGAATAGTTTTGTTCATACAGCCAAATCTGATACATAGATTGCTTTTCATATCATGACAAGTGTGTGATGGAAGCCAGTTTCCTTCTGTCCTCCTAAACAAAAATCAGAGTTGGAGAGAAAGACTGTAGTCTTAAAGGAAAGGTTAACTGAAAAATTCTTCCTTTGTTACCTGTGAGAAGTTTGATTGGTGAGATCAACAACTGCTAAAACAGAGACTGACGTCTTGTCAAGAACTGCTAACTGTTGTAGAGTATTCCTTTTGTTGTTTTCTGTGTCTCTTCTCTGAATAGTTGCCCACAGAGCCATGCACAACTCCATCTTGAATTAAAACAATAATCTTTTCAACTTGAAGTAAGCAGTTATCTTTGATAATAGTGGTGCTTTCCAAAAAACAGCTTTCCATTTTACCTTCTCCTGTAATCCATTAATCTCTTCTGCACATCTTTGTTTGCATTAAATAAATATAATTCAGAGGAAAATGGGTTATTATACCTTGAGTGAATAGTTCTTCAGTCTTACATACTTGGCCCTAGGAGTATTCTTTTTCTCTGTCTTTCTTCTTCTCCTCTTAATTGCTTTGGGTAATTGTATTTTACCTTCAAAGTGATTCTTTTGAAGCAAAAAAAGACTTGCATAATTTTGATTTTTGTCTTTAAAGAAATCATTCTACTGGAAAGAATATTAATTTCCTGCTCTGAAGTATTTTCTCTTAAATTCTCTGTCCAGTGTTATTAAAGAGCTGTCTGCTTAGACTCTACTGACATGGTAATGATTTTTTAATGCTGTCTTAACCTTCTTTTTAAAACTCTATTTTATTCAAAGCCCAGATATCTCATTGCATTTTATCAAAATCTAAAACCTATAGTCCTTCAATTCTAGAGAGATTATTGTATCCAAGAGATATAAATAAAGAACTTGATTGATACTTTGGGCTTGATTCTCAGTGACAGCAAAGTGTCCCTCTGCTGCTGTGGTGGTGTGAACATTCTTTTAGAATGGGAATAAATTATAGCATTCTGGAAAAAGGACACCTTGCAATATGGGGCTGTTGTAGGGCTGTTTTCTTTTGGAGGTGAAGTAGCTGTTACTGTATTGAAGGGTCCATTCCAAATACCAGAAAAATATAGTACTAGAAATTACCTCAAGAGATGTATCTCTCTTTCAGTCTGCTTTAAGGTGAAGACAAACCTATTGATTCCATTCCTGATGCATACCTAGCTATCTAGTTCTTTAAAATCTTCAAGTCCCTGAAGTCCCCCCACCCCATCCAGCTTCCTCTGCTTTATGCTAAAATATGCCCAGCGTGTTCTTTTGTTATTGGTCTTCTTTTCTTCCTGTTCTTAATGGCCTCCCTTATCTTATCTTAAGGGGCTGTGGCTCTAGCTAGGCAAGATGCTCTGCAGGAAACTTAGCCAGTGTTAAACTTGATTCTCATGTTAAGTTGGCCTACTCTGTTGAATGGAAAGCAGCAAGACCACATTCAGGGGGCCTCCTTTTTCCTGCCTCTATGGATTTCTGTTTTCTCCCATCAGTATCTTGATGTATTTGTGCTTTAGTAGTTCACCTCTCCTCATGAAGCAAAAGAGGCTCTTGCTTTCCTCTCTGCAGTGCTGTGCAGGCTGCCTTAGCAATGTGACTTCAAGTCATGAGATCAATGTGAGATTTTTATGTCTTCACCTGTTTTTATCATGTGTTTTGTTGGTTTTCCCATAAGCTTGGGTAAAAATTAGCTAAAAAAATCTGGATTGCAATTATCCTTGTTTGAAAACAAATAAACCAACCCAAAAAACCCCTTCATTTTTGTAACTACTAATGAGGAGAAATCTTGCTGGGTTTTTTCAAGGATGCGTTTAAACAAATTACCTTCTAGAGCAGGAGAGGTAGGAAAAGTAGCCAAAGAGACAGGATAACTTTTCCTTGGAGAGGCCTGTCTTTGGGAGGTGTCAGTGCTTGTGACAGAGGAAAGGCAAGAGGGAAGAAGGAATGGACTTCTGCACTCTGTTGCTTTTCTCTCTGGCTCTACAACCCAGAAAGGTTGTTTTCCTTAGACTGTGTTTTTCCTTTGTAAACATCAGTTCCCACTTTGAAATAAGGACTACTGCTAAACTGTTCTTTATTGCTAAACATTTGCAGCTAATCAGAGTTAAAGGTGAGTTACTGATCTTTATGGGTTTTTTTGCTCTATGTTATTCTGTGTGCCTTCTCTCTCCTGTGGTGCATTTCTTAAATCACTATGAAGCACCATTATACACTTCAGAGTTAGGTTGTTCCTTATCTGTATCACACAACAACAACTTCTTTCTCAACACTTTCTGATTAAATCTTAAGGCATTGATTAACCTGTATGTCACTGGCTTTAGGGTATAGTGAAGGTGAAGATGCATCAAAAACTATAATTGCATTGGCACCTGGAAAAACAGTCACTGGTACTTGTGTTTAGGTGCTGTTTTCCAGAGAGATGTCAAATCCATTGTGTACTCAGGTTTTGCAACAAAAACAGCTTCAGGTTGAAGAGGGGAGCAGTGGGCTCTAAAAGAGGAAGGATATACCTATCATAAAAAAATACTGGCTTTCTAGGATTCTGTTTTGTATTTCAGAATATCAGACTTACTACTTACATGTAGGACATGAATCATGGAATCATAGCATTGTTTAGGTTGGAAAAGCCCAACCATTAAACTAACTCTACCTAGTCTAATGCTAAACCATGTCCCTAAACACCACATCTACATGCCTTTTAAAAACCTCCAGGAAGGGTGCTTCAATTGACACCTTGGGCAGCCTGTTCCAGTGTTTAATAACTCTTTGAAGGAAGAAGTCTAATCTCCAACCTAAAACTCCGCTGGTGCAACTTGAGGCCATTTCCTCTTAGCCTGTCAGTTATAGCTTGGGAGAGGAGACTGACCCCCACCTTGCTACAAGCTCATTTCAGGTAGTTATAGAGTGATATGGTCTCCCTCAGCCTCCTTTTCTCCATACTAAACAACCCCAGTTCCCTCATACACTTCTCACAGGACTTGTCCTCCAGACCCTTTACCAGCTTTGTTATCTTTATGTGGACTTGCTCCAGCACCTCAAATGTTCTTCTTGTAGTGGGGGGCCCAGAACTGCACAGAGCACACAAGGTGCAGCCTCACCAGTGCGGAGTTACAGGGGCAGGATCACCTCCCTGATCCTGCTGGCTACACTGTTCCTGATGCAGGCCAGGATGCCATTGGCCTTCTTGGCCTCCTGGGCACACTGCTGGCTCATGTTCATCTGGCTGTCATTCAACAACCCAGGTCCCTCTCTGCTGGGCAGCTCTCCAGCCACTCTTCCCAAGCTTGTAGCGCTGCTGGGGTTTGTTGTGGCTGAAGTGCAGGACCTGCTATTTGGCCTTATTGAACCTCATGCAGTTGGCCTCAGCCCATCAATCCAGCCTATCCAGGTCCCACTGCAGTCTTCCTACCCTCAGGCAGATAAGCACTCCCTCCCAGTTTAGTGTCTGCAAATTTACTGAGAGTGCACTCGATCCCCTCATCCAGATCTTTGATAAAGATATTGAACAAGTCTGGCCCCCATGCTGAGCCCTGGGGAACACCACTTGTGACTTCATATGCCACAGCTGTTTGGCCTGGCCATCCAGCTAGTTTTTTACCCAGTGAAGAGTGATTTGAAGAAATAGACTCTATAGCCCTGGGAAGCTGTAAATCAGGTATTCTTTATGGCAGCTCTGGGTGCGTGGGTCATCTTTTTTTTAACACGCACACCAGTGGATGAGAACAGTACATGTTCATTAACTTAAAAATATACATATGCATTACCTAACAAAAAAATACACAGGATTATCCAGATTAATTCCCCAAATTCATTATAATATTTAAATCATTTCTCCAAAGTCATTAACATAAAGCTTTGCCCATTCCCACATGCACACTTCCTCTCAGTGGTCGTGGGCAGGGGTCTCTTGGAGGAAGGCTCGTAAGTCTTCTTCGGTGTGCTGGGTCATGTTCCTCAGTCTGGCAGGGTGGCTAATGTACCCAGCTGAATCCTGCTTCTTGCGCTCTCAGGCCAGACACATCCTAAATCAACACAATACCTCTAGCAAACATTAACAGATTCTATTGTGCAACATCATGTAGGTTTGGCAAATTTAA